TAGCTGTGCCACTGAGCTAACCTTAGAGATGAGGGGTATGCCTGTTTTTTCCCCCACAATCTCTGTATGTCTGTCTAGTTCCAGCAGTGCCTGAAGGTCATTTAGAAAGTACAATAAGGGAACATCTAGTTAATGCACCTTCTCTTAGCCTTAATAAGAGTAATGCAAGAACCCCTGGAGGGGAATATACCCATAACGGTTTACTGAAAACTAGGGAAACATACACATCATAGCAGAAAGCTTTCTTTCCCTATTTCTTCTCATTTATGATTCTTTCCTCTCAATACCAAGAGGTTGTGAAATATTTAGAATCACAGAATTTCTCAGCTCCTTCCTCTGCCCCCACTGCAATAGATCCTAGCAAAAAAACCACAACCATTTCTGTCTACTTGACAGGATGATATAAATCTTTCACATTTAACAGAATTTAGTCAAATTAAAATGAAAAGTAGCAGCTAAGCCCCAAGGCATTTGCCTTGCAAAACCTAATATTCTTTAGTGATACTATTATTTAGTGCTTCTAGTATTCCCTAGCAGCTCCAGCCAAGCTCCCTGAACGCTTCTATAAAACAGAGACTTTATCCCCATTCAGACTACTTGTTCAAACTCCCACATACTGTGATGCCTACAATAACTTGGCAAGAGTTGACTTATGTATGCAATGAAACCATTGCCTCTCATGTTGACCAAAGTCATCTCTTATTGCCCCATAGCAGTCTGTTTCCAATCCATTGTTTTTGTCCTATACCTAGAGCATAGACATTTGGGAGCAGGGGCCACCTTTTTGTTCTGTTTACACAATACCAACCACTTGGGGGTTCTGGTCCATGGGTCCAGCTCCTAGGTGCTATAATAATATTCATAATAATTAGTAATAAGAACAGGAGAGAAAATAAATCTGACCAAAATGCATTGTTTTCACCTTTCTAGGTAGTTCTGAAGGCTGTTTACTTAGTTCTGAACCATGACATTACCTCCCGCATTTGTGACGTGGCACTGAACATTGTTGAATGCCTGCTTCAGCTTGGTGTGGTGCCCTGTGTGGAGAAAGTCAGAAGGAAGAGTGAGAACAAAGAAAATGAGGCCCCTGAAAAGAGACCAAGTGAAGGATCCTTCCAGATCAAGGGGGCCACATCAGGTGGCTCTGCCTCTGGATTTGTGGCTCCCTCAGTCAGTGGAGCTGGAGATGGAGGAGAAGAAGGTGGAGGCGGTGGAGGGGGAGGTGGTGGAGGCGATGGAGGTGGAGGAGGTGGCAGCGGTGGCGGTGGAGGTCCTTATGAAAAGAACGACAAAAAACAAGAGAAGGTATTTCATGGCCACTATATATGATATTTCCAAATAGTATGTGAGGCATGAGGCCTATGCCCATGGAGACATTTGTGTATTTGTGTTGTGCAATTATAATTTCCCTTCCTGATAGGGAGGGAAACTGCCAGACTTTCTTTTATTGACACCACAAAGACATCTTAAATTAATTTGTTTTGCTGCAGTATGCACAGCAAAATCACTGTGATTGCACTCATCACTGTAATGAGTGCATCACAACAGAGAATTTAGCTTCTGTGGCTGTGACTACTACAGAAAAACAGCTGTAGTACACCTGTATATAAAAACAATGTTCCTTATTCTAGATAGGTGCTTTTTATCATGTAAAGCTAAAGAAAGTATAAAAATCTAGATCTGTGGCTCAGTTCATTTTTCTTGATAACCAGTAATTTTGAATTATGGCTCTTCAGTATCTGGCATGGAGTTAGTAGTTTTGCTAACTCCTAAAATTGTTTCTCCCTATTGTATAATATTTCAGCCATTTTGGAAAATACTGTTTTCCCACCTAAGCAGACCTGGCAAAAAGCCAAATGCTCTGATGTCAATTTAGTTGTAGAAATGTATTTGTCCAGTTATATTCCTATCTACTACACTTGTAAAGCTGCAAACTCTTTGAGCCAGATATTGCTTTCATTGCATCTTTCACTGGATCAGTCTGTAGCAAGTAAATGCTGGGAATCTGAGAGAGCTGAAGAAATAGATTTCAATTGAAACTCTGGATTCATATTTAATGTCAATGCTTTCTGCCTTCTGAAATGAGTCAGATTTTTCATCTCCAACTTTTTCTACAGCCAAACAACATGGCTATGTGGTATAGAACCTTACTAATTAGCATTAATTTGACATGGGAGAACCTCACCATTTCATATGGCTGGTGGGGAGGTTTCCCTGAATTTAGCAAGCTGGTGAGTAGGTGAAGAAAGAAATGTAAAAGCAAGGAACATGGAACATAACATGTGCTTTGCTCATTTATTTAAGCACTTGTTTATAATGTAACTATAATTAACTTGCTCTAATAAATGCACTGTAGAATATTCTAAAGAGTGTTACTATGAGATCACACTACAACATCTTGCTGTTACAGCTTTCCTAGTTTTAGACTGCTGCCTACCATTGAAAACTGTGGAGGTGCTTCTACAACATAGGCTTTTACACTCTACTAACATACATACCATATATGCATACAATACATGTAATATTTATGCATAACTGACACAACTATCAATATTTAACATAATTAAATTGTAGCAAATCCTAATAATTTTATCAGATAAGTACATACACTGCTTAAGTGTATAGCACCCTTCAGCCTACTACTTAGTAATATAATTAAACTCCATGTAACTGCATACTAATGGGCACTAGTAGTGGGGAGGCAGCTTCGAAGTGCTGGTATTGGAAGCCTTGAAAATTAGCTTAAGGGCTGCTAATACCACATTACTGACACTGCTGTTTACATTAAGTTTTGGTAAGTGCAGAGCTTTCTTTTTTCAATCCCAAAGCTTTGCACTTAAATGGAGTTGAGTATATCTCTTGCAAGTTGGTTACCAGTTTACTCAAGGCCATTAATATTTTTGTTGAGATCACTTTGGGCATTCCATAAACAGATTTGTTTAAAACTCCAAATATTTTTGATTTACCTTTGGCTGAGCCTCCAGCTTTGTCTATATTCAAAAGTGGTACTGGTTTAAAGTGGTGCAACACCCCCTCCCACATATGGACACAGTGGTTGCATCTACATGTACACTTTACTGCAGTTGACTAATTAGCTGTGCAGTAAAGCACTGCTATCTACACATGCGCCAGTATTAAGGCACAGTAAATTAATTTACTCTGCTATAAGATAGTACTGTCTACAGCGGAGTAATTATGTGTGCTGAAATGCACATCTAGATAGTGACAGTGGCTGGCTAGGGCATGAGAGTGCTAATGTGTTAGGGCTGCTTGCATCGCACTTTAGCACCACGTTGCACTTTAGCACCCTTGTCCCCAGCCAGCCCTTCTGCCACCTGATACCAGAGCTTGGGCTTGACCCCCCTCGAGACTGCTGCTAGCCTGGAGCTGTTCTGCCCTGGCTCAAAGTGTGGGTGGACATGTATATGCTGTGTCTGGAAGCAGCTGACTGGCATAAACTGCACTAGAGTTTATTGCTCCATGTTAATTCAATGTGTGGATGCACTCAGTTATATGAATATAAAGGTAGACTTTATATCTGTTTTACTTTTCTGTTTTGTATGAATGTAAACCCCAGTATAGACATTTGGGGTTTACCTAGAAACTTTTCCCTTAACTGCAGTGAGTACAGAAGTATACTTAATACAAATACTTTTAAGTGCTATAGCAATAAGTGTTCATTGAATTTCTTAGTAAATACCAGGTAAGCACATTATTGGTGCATAGCCCTGGGTAAGAACTGACTACAGGGTACAGGTATTTGACGGTAGGATATTTATATAATGTAAACTGTTATGGATTAATCACTGTAGGAATACAGGCACTGCCACGGGTACAGTTTTGCAGCATACCTGAATTAGCTTTAGATTGAGCTAGCTTTGTTACTGATAGCAATGTAACTATGGCAGCACAGAGCACAGTATGGGCTAACCCCAGAGTATTTACCCAGGTTTTTAAGCATGTTTTGTAATCCACAGTAAGCTCCATGCTGCCACAGGTATGCTGTTATCAGTAACCTGGGATAACCAATCCAAAACTACCATGGATATGTACATGCAAGCTGCAGTGCGGACACATCCTAGGATTCACTCAGTATCTGGGCAGACAGATAATTATGCAATAGTTATATACCTCTTGGCAGATAATAAACACCTTTAATAGCAAAAGATTGCATTTGGATTGCTTAAAATGCAACCTAAAATGAATAAGAAAAAATGGACAAATTTAAAACCTGTATTCTCAGCAGCCCCATTTTACTTTATCGTTGCCTTTAAAAAGCTGCTTTTTGCTTTGACTGGAATATTGGTTATTTAACTAATTAATTGGTTGGACCTTTATTCATTTTAAAGTAAAAGTATATTTCAGTATGCTCTGGGATAAAGCAAAACATTGTTTTTATTGTCAGTATTTAAGGGCTCTCAGACCTTATTCAAGCATAATATTTTGAAAAATAAGCCTCCTTTTACAGCTCTATATATTTTTTAAAGTTTTGATTTTAGGCAGAAGTTAATAAATGAGGAAGAAGAAAAGGAGTGCTGGGTTCATTTGCTTTTTGTCTTACAATAGTGTTGGCACTGGATTTAGAACCCAAATACCTTGTTCTGGGTAGACCCAAACCCTCAGACCGACCATGACTTCTCCATTGAATAACAGGCAAATTTTGTTGATACACAATGATAGCAGATAAGAATAATGCAGGCAAGGCAAACAAAATAACACCCCCAGTTCTATATCTACCAGGCCAAAGGCTGCATGGGGGAAGGCACATCTGGCCAGTATGCAAGCTTCACCCTGTGGTTCTCTCTTGAATGTCAGCAGTCGGCAGACTGGAGATTGAGGGCCGAGGCTCACTACCCCCAGGTGGGGTGGGTGAGATGGGCTGGTGGTGTACCCTCTGTCAATGGTGGCCACAGGTTCCCTTCTCAGGGGACACTTTGCTGTTCTGAAATCCTTTGATGACTTTTCATTCCCGGCTATCATTGATTGGTCTCACTGTAGTCATCATACTGTCCACATTCTGTCCTGTCAGCATATTCCTTTGTGCCAACAAACCCATCACATGCACACATCTTAATTTGGTTATTTACTGGTGTCTTAATTTGGTCCGTCCACCAAAACCAGAAATCCCAGGGGCTCTGCTGCTGGTCACTGTGACCTAATGCCACCTTATCTCATGTTACAGAGCAGTGTGGTACGTGTCTTCAATTCCCAGCCTGTGTGCCTGCTGGCTTCAGACACAGTGGGCCTTGAAGGAAACTTTGCCACAAATAGGCTTTAAGAAACCCTTGCCATTCCCC